ATGTTGGAAAAAATATTTTTCAAACAAAAATATTGCGAATATAAAAAGATTTAATATTTTAGAAACCCGACCGACATTCGCAGATTTCTTCATGTATGGCTTTCACTCTCCTAATCATAAAATCGCTCGCGAGTTTGAGCTTGAGCCCGATTTCAATTCGCATCCTAAGGGGAACTTACTTAAATAAGCTATTAGCAACAATAGGCTACCACTGGTGATTAAGTAGTTATTCAATATATACTGATGATATCAATAATATTGTGGCATTAATAATGCCCAAACTCTGGCATTAAAATAAATGTAAAGATTGGTATGGCTGATGAATGGGTTTCGGAATGATATTGAATGAAATTTAAATAATAACAAAAAAAAAGAAAAATTAAAAATTCACCAATCCGCCAAGCAAATATATCGGTGCAAAAACAAAATACGGTAGAGATCGAGCAATGATTCCTTTGATGAACAGATAAAATATCATTAAAGCTACAGCCCACTGAAAAAAATCAGTGGTTATCAGCGGGAAATTCGATTTTATTCTGAGCAGTTTAAATATAAAAATTTTTAAAAAATATCCCTCATCCATTATTATCTTTCTTTCTAAATGAGAAAGCCAAATGCAGGTTTCTCGATAATAAATAAATTTTGAACCTGAAAGGCATTTGCTGAAGGAACTTTTACGCAATATTCCTATGGAAAGCCTTAAAAGGTTTTCAAGAATTTGCTTTTTTTTTTTTACTTGCAAAATTCACCTGTAGTGCAACCAATATTATGCTAGAATAATTGAAAATAATTGTTTTCAAGCAATTTTTTTTGCCCGAATTTATATTCGAAAAAGTTGAAATGATTCGTTCGACGACAATCGTTGCAATATTAATACATGTTGCATGCTTCGCTAAAACATGGAAATAAATAATTATATAGTTATTTTATTTTCTTTAATTACTTTCTTTAAAACCTTTTGAATTCTCACAGAATCGCATGAAAAAGCCATACTGAAGAAACATTAAACTAGCGTATCTTTTTGCAAGTACTTTAAATTTTTCAGGTACTTTAAATTACCTTAAATTTTGAGAAATTATTTAAAGTTCCTATGACGGGCACCTATATTTCTCTTTGCAGATAAACGAATGAATGAATTCCTTGCCGATTTTCCTTCTAATAAAGTAAAGTCGTCATAGCCTTAATTCCTAGTCAATGATGGGAATAAAACTATCAAGCGAGAAAATAGGAGAAATCCGGAATGGCTTCGTCAATCTGGCATTACAAAAGGAAATTTGCTTGCATCTCATATGAATTTTTTGCATCTTTTTTTTCTATTTACTTCTATATTTGAATTTTCCTCGTTAGAAAACTATAAAAAATATATGAAAAAATATTGCTAGAAAATTACTAGAAATTTTTATAATATATTCCATTATGCTATAATTATTCACTATTAAATTATTTATTTATTTATTTGACTAATTCCTCTTCTTTTAACAGCTTTCACCATTATTGGTTAGGCTGGCTCAAACGGCTACAAGGGTAAGATGCTAGATACAAGCGACGCGGTCTGATGGCATCGACAGTAATAGAAGCTATTCCTTTTTCCATTGTCTAAGTCCATATATTACTGGACCCCCTATAAATTCAAAATCTTTTCTAATTCAGTCTAGGTCTTGATTAGCTCGCTTTTGACGCCAACCATCAGTAAGCGAAATATGCCTTAAATCTTGTGGTAAGCGACGGAGAACGAGTTCTAACCAGCGAAGGCGACGCTCTGTGATAGGTATTATTAATACAGGTGATTTTTGAGCGAAGATGGTACAATCATATGAGATTTTATCCGCTCGACGGATCCATATAATATATCTTAGACATGAGTGGTCAAAGGCAGAAAGGATTTGATAAATTTGGCAAACGAATTTAAATGAATTTTTCGAATAATTTAAAACCCACTTATCGTTACAAGATAGTCAGCAATAAAATCACAGTTTTTATGAGGATCATAGAACCATAATTCGAAAATCAACTTTGTTAGTCTTGAAACATGATAAAACAAATAAGTGAATGCAGTATTGACCATGATAATCACTAGATTTCGAGAAAATGACTATAAAAATTTTCGATTATAAAATATGCAAAAAAAATTTTTTCCCATAGAAAATTTTAGATCATTTGGTAGAAGTTTACTATTATTATTTATTATTACTATTATTTTCTAGCGATTAGCCGATTTATCATTTCTGGTTGGACGACTTACACCACTTTGAGTGATATTTTATTTTTACTGATAAAGCCATCAACATCACTCAGCCATATTTTTTTTTTAGATGGCTATGGATTTTAATATATTTTAATAATTATCGAAATGTATATTGAAATATCGGTAGTAATTTTCTATTATATAACGCGACAAAACGAAAGTAATTCAAGAAACTCTAAAGATATCTTGATAAAATTCTGATTTTTTGATAAAATTTTTAAGGTCTATCATGAAAATATTCGATTAATTGAAAATTACCTTCTCTTTAATCAATGTAATGAAAAAAGCAATTATGAAAGGATAGGTTGTTACATTGAGAAATAATTCAATATATGATAACGCTAACGATAAAGGATTTGTAAAACCATTTCTGTATCGATTTGGATCCATGTTTTTATCAGTTTTTTTTATCAATTTCTAAAATATTCTCGTAAATTATTTTATATATTTCAAATTTCATAAATTAATTATTTAAAAAGATTCAATTATGAAATTTACGGGTTTATGCAATGAGGAAAACGTGAGGCGTCTTTCTTCTTCTTTCAATTAAAAATTTTTTAGAGACTTTATAGACGAAAGCACAATAGAGTTTAATATAATTCTTAATGATTCGCAAATCGTAGGAGATCTCAAGGAATCGAAAAGACTGGAGAGCGACTATGTATCCACCCCTCAGTGCTTCTCTGTATCAACTAAAATTTCTCAAATTGCTCGAATCGATTTCTATAAATTGGAAACACCGAAAATAATCGTTTAGCAATAAGTCTCTTAGCTTATTTTAAAAAACTGACTATCCATTAAATTTTCTCTATGTCAAATAAAAATTCCGATTAAACGATTTCTCATAGAATATTTTTAATTTATAGATATGAATTAATTAAATAAAAATAAGATTTTCACATATAATTAAATTCTCTTCGAGTATTCTAATTAAAAAATAATATGCAATAGAACATGTTTTTTTATTTCAAAATTCTTAAAAGTCCTAAACTTTTTATTTTTCCTTATTAATTTCAAATTAAATTAAAACTAAAATTAATGGAAATTTTCGCACTTATCAAAAATATTACTCAAATTACTTGTTATTGCCGAATTTTTTTTCGATATTGCTGGTTCGAAATTTTTGTAATATAATTAAATATAATTTAAATATAATTACAAAATTTTATTTAAATTAAATTATATTATAATTAATTATAACTGTCTGTTTTTTTGTTCTGTCTGTTTTTTTATTTCAAATAATATTTTAATATTTCGTCAATTTTAATTGTTAGAAAAATGAGAGTTAAGTAATGAAGAAGGGCAGAGAGGTAGGAGGGAAGGTTTTTATGCGACGAGTTCAGTCGCATTTATAGTTTTGAAAGCATTAAACTTAAAACTTATTAGTCGAAATAATACAATCGGTCGATTATATTGTCCTCGTTTTTTATTTATTTTCTTTTTTTTTCTTCGAAAATCAACTCAAAATTTATGATTTTAATGATATGGAAAAAAATTTTATAAAATCTGCACAATCAAAACGACAAATTTTTGCGAAAATAATTAACAAAAAAAAAGAATTATCGTAGAAATTCATCAAAAAACATGAAAACTGCTATTAACTGCTAATTTTTGTCTTTTAAATATTTTATAAATTTTTTATATTTTTTTTTATATTATTTTGATTTGATATTTTTCAAATTTTTTTTCTAGGAATTTTTGCCATTTTTAATTAGTAATATTCCATTGTTTTGCCGTTCGTAAACAAATTTTTATTAGTCGTATTAGTTTTATTTTTATTTTATAAGTGTCAGAATTGATCGGCCATAAAATATGAAAATAGAAAAACATAATAAAAATACGGATGGATTATTACGCGTTTTGAATTGGTGTTTCGAAAGACGGAATTATTTAGAATGGAATCCACGCATCGATGCTTCGAAATAAATGTAGCGATCCACTAAATAACTCTTTTAACTTTTAAATAAAATTAATAAAATAAAATTAAAAAAATTCATTTTTATCTTTTCGATTTTGATGAATATTTACATATTTCTAATTTACCTTTACATATTTACATATTTCTAATTTATCTTTAAAATTATTAAGTACCATTCGCTGCATTTAAGTCTTATTTTTTTTCTAGCAACGCTCATTATTTTAAAACAAGAATCACCGTTGGCTTTATGGGGTGAAATAAATTTTGCAGAAGTATAGGTGAATTGCTAGCTTCTCAGATTTTTGAAGGACAGGTTACAGGTTCTGCAGATTCTGCTGAGTGCCGAATCGCATCACCACTGCAAAAAAAACTGAACTAACATCCCACTGAACCATTTTACCTTATATAAGGATTATTGTTAAGTTTAACTGAACTAAAAAGAACACTTATCAACACTTATGATTTAGTAGAATCTGAGATAATTATGGATGCGATTGAAAAGAATTAGCTAAATTTCTTAATACGTCGAAATTTGAGATAATTTATTTAGCTGTGATGCAATGAAAAAAAGAAAAAAAAATAGTCAAATTTTTTTCTTTACAAAAAAGAGAAATTCATAAGAATTAAAAAATTAAAAAAAACATTCGTTAAAAAAATTATCTTTTATCACTTCATTTACAAAATTTATAAAATTTTAAGATTTATACATCAAATTTTATTTGTTTTTTTATTAATAAAATGATAAAGAAAATTTTAATTATGACAATAAATATTGTATCGAGTATAGAGAAAAACCAATAATTTTGCGAATAATTTAGAGGTTTATTCGAAAGAGCCTTAGAAGGATTTATTGCGGTAATGTTTATATCCAGGAAATACTGAACCCAAGCTTTGAGTATTATAGCCAATTGACGCTTCATAACCATTCGCTCCATAAGAATTGTAGCCATCACTAGATGATGGATCATTCGATCCATAATTACTATACATACTAGGTAAAGAAGGATAGCTTGCGATATTTGATGAAGATGAGTAAGGTTGATAGCTCATTACATTTGATGATGAAGGTGGATATGAACCAAAAGATGTCCCACTCAATCCTGAATTAGCGCCTAATGAACCAACGGAGTTTGAATAGGGTGAATTACTATAAGAACCGAGACTTTTCAATGTTCCAGCGTACGGATAACTGGATTGACGATATGGAAGCTGAAAACTAGCAAAAGAATTGCCTTTTATGCGACGTAAAAAATAATTCAAAATTTGCATCTTTTAAATAAATTTTTTAGAACAAATATACATTTAAGCCCTATATATTCAGCTATAAATAAAAAAAGTGGTCAAATAATTGTGTGATCAGTGGATTCAACAAGTATAATAGAATGAAAATTACATTCGATTGCGCTGAACCACTAGCATAATTGCTATACGGATAGGCTGAATAAGTTGATGGGGAACCATAACTACCATAACTGCCTTGGCTTTGTCCATAGCCATATGCCGCTACTGGACTAGCAACATTCGAAGATGCTAAAATAGAGGAAAAAGTTCTCATTAAAAAAAATTTTAAATTTTAATTATAATTAAAAATTATAATAAAAATAGTAGAATATCTATATATATTGGGGAAAAGTATATGCTTCGTCGGTGGTATCGGACATCTAAGAATAAATTTATCCTTATTCCCCTATCCCTAAATGAATCTCTAAAGGAGAAATTCGATTTTAATTGCAAAAACTAAAATTATAAACGCTATTAGAAAAACAAATAGGAATATATGGCCATATATCAACTGTTGCAAAAATCCGATCATAAAACGATCATAAAACGTGATCAGTTGAGATCAACAAAAATTGGAGCAATTTAATAATAAATTCCGTAATTGAATTAAAACCTCACCATAACCAGCGCCGCCATATCCAAATCCCGGTGAAAAAACTCCAGAATTTTTCATGGCACATGTACCGCAATAACCACCACCACCGTATCCCAGTTGGGCAATGCATACGTCAATGAGGATCGATGCGAACGTGCCAAGAATATACTTCATTTCTTAAAATTTTTTAATTTTCGTTTCGCCCTGATAATTGTCATGTCAGATAACTTTAGAAAAAGTTTGTTAATATATCAGCAAAAATAAAAATAAAAATATTAAAATTGTTAAAAAATTAAAAAAAATAATTATTATTCTCATAAAATTTTTGATTTTTTATTGGTTTTAAATGAAGTAACTCAATAATTTAATATTTGCAAAGTTTATGGAAGTGAAATTTTCGGGATATCAAATCGCCAATGGCAATATGAATTTTTCTTTTTAAGAAATTTACTCCATTTCTGGTAATGCGAGCTCTTCATTAGCTTATTGAACAAGACAAATTTGGGCAATCGAGTCACTTGGCGATAGAAACTCAGATAGATTACCAGCACCAGAAGGATTCTTTAAACAAAACAGGTTCTTCCCTGCATAGTCACCGTTCCTATGTGATTCTATCGCATTAGATTAGGAATTTTTTATTGAACTATGACTGGAATAACTGGAAGCATAGCGAACTGAATTAATTAATGGTATACGAAAAAAAATGAAAAAGATACAAGAAAATTCAAGAGTATTTACTGAATCAAAATCGAGATATTATAAATACGATAAACTGATGAAATTTTATAAAATCGGTTTACTTATATATGGCTATGGTGACGAATAGTGACCACTCTTGACCCAACAATAATTTTTAGTCACCATTGTATTGCTTACTATACGAAATGAATTGTCCAGCTAGTTGTGCCGATTTATTACTCCAATAGTTAAACAGCTATTTAATGGAATTTGTAATTCGACAAACAATACGCGCTGCCATTTTCGTTGAATTTTCTTTTCACGATGATGATGAGTACTAAGCAACTCTTTCTTTTGAAATATGAAAAACCTGGTTTTGAATTACATGGAAAAAACTTGTTTTATTTTCAATAATATTTAGTTTAACTGGATTTTTATAATAACTAAAATTTTGCACTAAATACTAAATAATATAAAATTATTTAATTACTAATTTAATATTATATACTATTATTATTATTTAATTATTACTATTGTTAATTATTATTATTAAAGATTATAAATTATAAATAAAAATTATAAAAAAATTATAATTTAATTTCATGAAGGGAATTTTTGCTCAGATTTCGAAGCACCTTCACTTTTAGCGCTCGTACCTCTTTAAGAAATCCGAGTGATACTTGGCGATTTATCTTTATCACCAAGTGGCGTCTTGATAAAAATTGTTTAACTCGACCATTCTTAAAGCTCCAGCTCTAAAAAAAGACCTGATGAAATCGTTGAAGATTAACCGATTTTAGCTTTTTCTTTGTATGCCAATCGTGATTTTCAGTGAAAGCCCAGCTCTAATTTTCTAGAATCCAAACGATATTGCTACACTTATTGATTTACTACTTTTCGCCAAAGTAATTCGATTATTATTTTTTATTTTATTTTTAATATTTTTTCTAAAATTTCTTTTTCTGCTAAGAGCGCTTATCATTTTAAATTTTAACGCAATTGAGCGAAAACATTAAATAATGGATTCCATCGTTATTTCAGCGACACATTACAACTTAAAACAAAATATGCTTTGGCCTAATTGAATTAAAATAAAATGAACTATCGAAACAAAAATTCCTCAATTAGCTTAATATTTCAATAATTTTACCTTTAATTTTATTTATAAAATTGTCGATAAATTGCTAAATGCATCTAAAATTGAATATTTGTCTTTAATCTTTAAATTTTTCGAATTTATAGAATAGAATTTTATTTTTTACAAAGTCGATTTAAAATGAATGCTAATAATTCGCTGATATTTTTCGAATTATAATAGCTGTATTTCTATTGTTAGGTGACTTTCTGGTGTTTGGTGCAAAATTTATCCGGTGCAATAAACCAACGAAAGGTGCTTAATCTGAAAAGATGAGCAAAAAAAAAATTGGTATTTAATGATAATTGGTAACTCTTGAGAAAAATCAACATGACAAAAATCAGCAAATAGCAATATCTATTTGTTTTTGCAAAGATCTACATCGATATTTTAAATTCCAGTATCACTAACATTATTTTATAAATCGAATAAGTGAACCAGATTTTGCAAAAAAAAAAAAAATCCCCCAATTGAACTCAAATATTTTGTTTATCAAAATATTTCGAGATTTTATCCCATAAATTTTTTAAATAAAAATAACAATGAAAAATTTTTTTCTTCTAATTAATAAAGTTTACCTCAAAATTTTATATTTCCAATTCAAGTATCAATTCTCAATTTTTCAACTACTTGGATTCTTGCAGTTTTTCTCTATATCAGAAGATCGCTTGATGAAGACCGCTAGTTTTGGCAATCCATAAGGATCCTCAAATTTCACCTAAAGAATCCACTGTCACAATTCCAATTTACTTAAACATAATGAGAATTTGCTAAATCACTCAATGCACTATTTGGAATATTCGTTCAACGTAGGGAGCCAGCGAAACGTACTCAGCTAGTAATGATGACCCTTCAAGAGGAAAGCATAACAGAGATATGGAATACATAATAAATATAAATTTTAATTCACTGCCATATTTTGATACAATTTTACGTTCGATTAGCAATTATAAATGTGTCCTTTCGTGCGTTGTTCGTTGTTTTTGCACTAAAAAAAAAAAAAATTAATTTAAATCTATTTAATTTATTCTAATTTCATTCTCAATTTCAAACTTAAATTTCGACAAAAAATATAAATTAATAGTTCTAAAAAAAATTATTATCATTAAATGATAAAATGACAAAGATCGCCTACTCTTAATCAATGTTCAAAGTGATAACATTGTGATAACGTTTATCTATGCTTAATAATGGGATGAAATTTTAATTTATATTTAGCGACAATCGTTGTCATTGCTTTTTTCTCGATAATATTTTCCTCATAAATTTGAATACACAGGTCTTAATCAATTAAAGCCAAAATAATCAATCAAAACATGGACTAATACAGGAAAGATTTTGAGCGTATAGATGGACCAGCAATATATGGACTTCGACAATGGAAAAGGAGAATGACTTCTATGACTGTCGTCGATGGCACACAAAGATCGACACAGCTTGCAGACGCTTTACTCTTGTCTCCAGTGGAGTCAGCCTAATCAGTGATGGTGAGAGAGCTGTTAGAAGAAGAAGAAGAAGAAGAATTGATCATTTTTAATTATGGAATTATTTGAAATTCCTAAAATATATATGATTAATGGAATTTTTCAATAAATTTTTTATTTTTATCAGCTGATTTTAACATAAATATAATAAATATAGATTGGACCTTTAAAAGGCTATACAAAACGTTATATTATATTATAGCCTTAGAAAAAAACCAGGGGAAAATATATTAGAAATATCTTATAAAAATATTTCGATATTCTTTTTTTTTGACGTTTAAAGTCTTGCCTTAAAAATAAGATTGATGATAACAAAATTGATTATCAGAAGAGGACTGATAAAGAAAAACTGATAATTTAATGATTGACAATTTAATTATGGCCAACAAGAATATATATAATTTTTTTAAATTTTTTTTTTGCCTTATACAAATGAATATTGCACGATTAAAAGGCTTAAAATTAAAGCCTCTGTAAGAGAAAGGATTAGACGATTTGGCTTTGATAGACGAGTGGCCAAAGCCTAAAAAAAAAGAAAACTTCCTGAAAAAAGCGACCTTTGATCTTTGCTGAAATTCTACAAAAATTTATCGAAATAATTGGAAAAATCTTTTTTTCAATTTTTATTAAAATTTATATATCAATGATTCAAATATGACCTTGTCCTAAAACGAAAACGTGAATACGGTATTAATGATTCATTCTTTTCGTTCAATTTCCTTGTTTTTTTGGTGGATTTCTCTTTGCTGATGGTCCGAAATATTTTTGCATCCTCGGTTGAGGGGGAGGGTGGTTATTTTTTGCTAGTAGAATGTTTTGTTTATAGCTCTTTCTCAATGGGCTGCTTCCGGCTTGGCTGCTACCATTTAGTGGAAACGTTTAGATTTCTTCATTAGTGAATAATTTGGAAACAAATGAGTCCCTAGCACCGCCGTGATTTATCTTTGAATGGTAGATTCTGTCCGTCAAAGGGCAAAAATCTAAAATGTAGCTTATTTTAGCCGAAAAAACGTTCCATTCGATTATCGTTATCGCTTGTAACTTAGACAGTAAAGAAATTAAATGAATTAATATAAGAGACTGCGTTTTAGGTTCCAAATCCCACTTTGGAGATTGTTTAAATTTTCATTTCATTTTAAAATAATTGTACTGATGATATTGAATGGCGAAGTGGGTTATTGTCTTCATTTTGGAGTTGTAGATATCGGCATTCCGGCATCTATTCCCGGTAGCAGTAAATCTTCGAAAATTCAGCTGATGCTGACGCCTTATTTGTATTCTCGTTAAGAGGATTATTTTTTAATTCCTAAGAGCAATTCGTCTCTAAACGATTGAAATGAATGGCTTTAGCTAGAAATGATGACTCTTCTCGCACGTGTTCCTTAATGGAACTTAGAAGGGATATAAAAAAGGATATTTTTTCTAAATTTTCAGTGGAAAAATTGAATTTCTTTTTTTTGTATTTATTGATTGTTAAAGGTTGTTTAATTTTAAAATATTGCAAGTGTATGTGGATAAGATTAAAAAATTCTGTCTAACTCACTAGTTTTGTAATTTTTTTCATATGTTCCAAATTTTCATTTTTAAAAATCTAGCAAAAATCCTATGAATTCCTTTGCTAGTGCAAATTATGAATTCTTTTAAGAATTCGGCGGAGACTGCGGATTCTCCTTAAAAAACGATTTCTTTAAAAAGTTTCGTAATAGCTATGAATTTATGAGCTAAATTTAAAATTTTGAAAGTTCTTTTTAAACGACGAGTTTCCTTTGAGAATTCAATGAACGTTTCTAGTTTTTTTTTTATTAAGGATGTTAAAATATTAAGGAAACTTTTTCTTTTTGAATTTATGGAATTGTTCATTGATGAAATGGATTATTTAGAGTGCGGAGCACTGCTTGCGTAATAACTCTTTGTATTTTTGCAAAATCTGTAACTTTTATTGGCCAAATTTTAATATACTTGAGTAATTTAAAAATAAATAAATTAATTAGTTTTTATGGTATTTTTTGTTGGGTTATCGAAATCGAAATATAGCTTTTATTTTGTTCCTTTTTTTTTTCAGTTTTATGACAGCTGTAATTAATTCGAGGCCGAGTTCTTCAGCTGCAACCAGCATGGGTCTTGCTAAACCAGGTTTTCTATTTGCTTCTTTTTTTTATTTGAGGTATATCAAGTTTATTTGAGCAAATATTATGTATTTATTATATTTAAATTAAATTGTTCTTTATCGTGTGGAACTAATAATATAGAATTGCATTTTTTTTCACGTTTAGAAAGATAGTGTGATTGAAATTCGTGCAAATTTGTTAACTGGAAATCTAGAATCGGCGAAATTTGCTTTGAAACGAGTGATTATGGACTCTTTGGGAAATTGTTAAATGATTCATCAACTTTCCCTTTCCATTAATTTTCCCTTATGCGGAAAGTAATGTATTATTCATGTGGAAGAAAATATTTATTATTATTTTATGATTAATCTGTTTTTCGTTCTTTTTTTATTCGTGAAAATTCCACATGAATACAAAATTTTAATAAAAATTGAAATTTTTGCAGAATTATTGCACAAAATAGAAGGACATATCGCTCGTGTTAATGATGTTTTTCTTTTAACCAAAGAAGATGGCGTTATTACGATAAGTGATGATCGCTCGATACGAATTTGGCTAAAACGTGATAATGGGCAATTTTGGCCATCAGTGCATCATTATATGCCATTTGCTCCAACTTCAATGTGTTTCAAAGAGGATAAATTAAGGTAATTTTTGTGTGTATTTGAATATGCTTATTTTTTTGTATGATTTTGTTCTCATTTTTATTGAAAGATTTTGTCCTTAAAATTTTGTTTTTTCTCTAAATTTATTTCTTTAAAATTTTTGTTGGAAAATATTATTGCAGGGAAAAAAATAGATTTATTTTGCATTGTGCACATCTTTTTTAAAATTTTCTTCTTTATGAAATAAATCATATAAGGAAAGTGTCTTTTATTTGCTTTTGAGGCTTTTTATCGGACTTGTTAATGGCAGTATTTATGAATATATTGTGGCGGATGATATGAACAGTTTATCAGAATCGAGACACATTAGCGTTCATACGAATGTCGTTACAGCAATTTATTTATCTCTTGAATGTGAATTACTTTTTAGCTGCAGTAAGGACAAATCTCTTATATGGCATTGTTCTCAGTCTTTTGTGAAAATAGGTTGTGGTTTTAAAATATATATTATTCAAAAAAAACATTGTTTTCCAAATTTTGGATTTTTTTATTTTTATTTTAGGATATTATAATGCGGATTCGACTCTTACAGCTATGGAATTTGATTCACCATCAGGATTTATTTTTGTTGGTGATTCAAGTGGTAATATTTTACTATTACGAATCAATGGCTCGGACGCACAATTAATCAGTAAACTCTCGGCACATACAGGTCTTTTTCCACTTTTAAATCCTTTTTATGTTTCATCAAATGTAAAAGAAAGAATGAAAACAGAAAACACTCTTCCAACTGGAATTCTTCCAATACTTCACAAACCAGCAAATTGTTAAAAATTCAGACAAAATTGAGGATTATCTGGATTCTTCATATAATTAATGGGTTTTAAATAATTATCTACAGCTTCAATAAATGCATTATCATGGGACGTCAAGCGCCAATTATTATTTTCGGCTGGAGCAGATTTTCTGGTTATTACATGGGATATTGGTGGGAAAAGAGGTCAAGCATTCGAAATGAAGTAAACCTTCATTTTTTTTCGTCCTTTTATTTGGTCTTTTTTTTTTCATCATGAAACAAATAAATAAAATATTCAAAAGCTGAGATGAAATTTGTTTATTTTCTGCGTTTTCTCAGCAGCTCTTTTATTTTTTTTTTTGTCTTTTCCTCTATGATTAATAATCCTCTATTTTCTTAGCGCCCATAAATCGAAACTGACGTGCCTTTGTTATGCTCAAAATGCCTGTCGTTTATTTTCGGCTGATGAAAATGGTACACTTGTTTGTTGGGATATGACTACTCAGCGTTTAGAAACACCGGAATGGAAATCTAGTGATAATTGTCAACTTTGTGATTCTCCCTATTTTTGGAATCTGAAAGAAATGTGGGCAAAGAAAGTTGGTGAATTTGAATTTGAATTTTTAATTGTGGCAGATAAGTGGTTGTTACAAAAGTTACAAAAGGTCTCATATTTATTTAGGTGGTCGGTTCTCGACAGCACCACTGTCGAACATGTGGTAGTGCTGTTTGTGCACATTGTAGTAGTAACACAACGCGTTATCCACCGATGGGTTATGAACTACCTGTTAGAATCTGTAATGCATGTAATTCAAGAATGCAACAATTCCCTGATCAGTTCGAGTAAATTTTCTATTTTTCCGATATAATTTGTGAAACCTCAAATATTTTCAACTGAACTTTTAACATTTTCAATATTTTAATGATTTTCCTTTAATGCAAAATTTTATTTTCTTTCCTAGCAGAAACAAATTTGAGGTTATCGTGAATTGGAAAAAATTGATTCTCTATAAGGACATTTGATTAATTGATAGGTTGAATTGATAGGTTATTCTGTAGATTTAATTGGGACGCTTTTGCACCCGATCATCGTATTTCCTTTCATTCTTTCGGTTATACAAATTTTTCAGCCTAACTCCATTAGCGGTATCGTGTGACTTGCGTCATGGAATAGTATGTATGCATCTACAGGAACAAATTGGTCTTTTAGTGACAGTTGGTGTCGATCGAATTATGATGATATGGAATATTCGTGGACTTGTTTGAATTAATTTTTCCATATAATAATCACCGGAAATTTTATTTTTTATTTTATTTAAATTATTGAATATTGTATATATTTAGTAAAATTTCCATCAATTAAGTTAATGGTACTATGTTTCAGTATATTTTTCAGTGAGGAGAACTGACGGGTCGTTTTTCCTATATTAGATATACATTTTTTATTTTTTGTGATATCTTTCCTCTATAATTATTTGATATAATTTCCTTTATAATTATTAATAATTGTTTTTTTGATAGAATTTCAGGATTATATCAGTATTATTAGTGTTTCTGAATATTAATTCTATCACCAAAATATTAGTATTACACCAGTAATCTCGTTAATTATCAAATTACTTTTTAGGGGCCTGTTTCTTTGTGACCTCAACACTGTTGAGCCTATCTAATTCATTTTTTTTACCTTGAATATTTAATATTAAATATTTTCATTTTTTTTCTTCTTTTACATCATGAATCATTTTCTTTATAGCAATTTCTAGCAGTTTTTAATATATTCAATAAACGCATTGTAAAAATTAAAATAGATAGAAGGAAAATAATGTTCGCCTACCACGCAAATATATTTTAATCATTTAAATCGCCTACCTTTAAACGACCAATAGATTGCACGATTATAAGAAAAAGGTTAAAATCGCGCGATTATAACTTTTTTCTTCAGACTTGGCTAATTAAACCTACAAATGAAATCAATAATAAAAGGCGAAACGCAAGAAATAAAATATTAAAAAACTATGCAATGTTTTCACAAAATGGGTAACGCAAAAGATAAAGTATTAAAGATTTGAAGACCACGCAAAAAATTGGAAAAATTTTATATATTTTCATAAAATTTAATGAGACACAAGATGAAAATAAAAATTAAATAAAGATGAAAAAATTAAAATTAAAATTAAATTAAAAAATTGAATTAAAGATAAAATTAAAATAAAGATGAAAATTTTTCATAAGGTACGCCAGCCTTACCAAATTTAATTGAAGGTCAAGGTCAATTCTTTTTTAGAAATTAATTAACTGATCATGGAATCGATTAAAAAAATAAGTTTTCGGATAAAAATGAAAATAATGAAAAACTAACTTGAAACATAAGTTTGGGATGGACATCGCATTTCACGAAAAGCATATTTTAATTAAATTTTGTTTCTGAAAAATGACCGCTGTGATCCCAATTTTATGAATTCGAACATATCACCAAGTTGAACTAAACAGCAATTGATAAGTTTAGCGTAATTATAATTAAACGATATTTTATAATTAAACGATATTTTTAAGCGAGTTTTTTCTTTATCACTCTTCGTAATTCTAAATTGTTTATAAAAAATATTATAATAATAATAATGTAATAATAATTAATAATAATAATTAATAATAAATAATTAACAATAATAATTAATAATAATAATAATTAATAATAATAATAAACATATGAATCTGTGAATTTTTTAGGTTTCTTGCTAAATCTTTGTTGCTGATTAGGTTAAATTCGTTCCATTCCTAGGCCTTTTGCATGGAAACTCAGTATCAATGCTGTAAAGCACCGAACTGAACAAAACAGATAAAGCAAATTTAGAAATAAATTATTTTTAAATCCCATTTTTTTTTGGAAAACTTGATCTATTTTCATTTTTCCTCACTTTTCTGGTAATTTGGGAAAAACTTACAGAGATGTGTACATTCTTTATACAATTACAAATTTCCGATCCCTACTGTTCACCTCGCTTATTGATAGAAAAACAGTGATCAGCGTTTCAACTAGATTTAGATTTCAACCTTTATTGTGCAACTATTTAATTAAAGTATATTAATGAATAGTTGATTTTTGCTAAATGCCTATTATTTTTTAAGGCGACAGCAAATGTAAATGTGACAACAAAAAACACTTGGTGGAGCTCAGCGATTCCTACCACCAGAATATATTTTCCTTTAAGTTTCTTCGATAATCCGCTCCAGGTGCTCCAGGTCTCTATATTATGTATAAATTTTTGAATTTCCTGCCTCGCTGTACCTTTTAACTGCTAAAATTATTATATATTTTCTGACCAGCATTCTCCTTATAAATATCAAATGCAAAAAATCGGACCCTCAAACTTGGGTAATTAAATCGTTTATTCACTATATATATATAAAACATAAAACAGAAAAAAATATAAAACATAGACAAATCCTACAACACTGGTGCGGCCTATCATTTCCCCCAATGGTAAATCCTTGGGAGATGGATGAAATACTCGATAGTGCCAACGCAAGAACGATGTCGATAAAAACGTTCCTATCCAATGCTCCCGCGATCCACAACTTTTTCCATACTTACCCCTTTTCTCATCCCTTTCACCTTCCCTTTCCCCAAAACAAACCCAAAAATTTCTCTTGGCAGCTTACATTTTTTTTGAGATGGATGGAAGGAAGTTTGTCTTCCATTCTCTCAAAGCAGAAGTTATCTTTATTGGACCTCTCATTCACTAATGACGCACTCAACTATTATTTTCCAATATCATTTCCAACTCCAGACTTTCTGATTTTCCTAATATTCTTGCTGGAAAAGAAATTCGTTTATGCAGCAGGTGCGATACGGATGATCTGCTCATATTTGCAGTTATCTTCGTCATTCGGCGACATCCGACAAAAGTCTGTCATAGACGTAAGAATTGTTATCAACAAAAATCTTTTCCATCGATGTTTAGCAAGATAACAATTATTCTTATTATCCCAACTATTCTTAAGAAATAATTCGTTTATAATTTCTTCTTTTTTAATAAAATATACATCTTCCTTGAGATCACTCTTTAAATTAAAATTAAGAAATCGCTTACGCTCACCACTGATAAAAAGGAAGAATTGTTAAATTAAGAATAAAGAAACTAATTTAAATGTTAGTTCTTTGCCATGAACAACTGCATGTAGCGATTTCTGTTCAGAGGGATCCTTAATATGTTTGCGAACTTCTCTGTTTCTTAATACCAATACCAATACATCATTATCCCTTAATGGTGTGCTTGAATGTGTAGAATAGGATATCTCTCAGGGACAAATTCTTTTTCCTTTGTAATTTCTAGAGGGATACCGGCCTAATTAATTCTTTGCCATTGGCTAACTTAACTTTTGCAGATCTTATGGGAATTCACGGTTTTTCCCCGAGTTTCGTTATTTCGACAAAACAATAAGAAAGAGCAGAAACATTTTATTCAAATTGTTTTAGAAGAAATCAGAAGACGACATCAACATGTAACAATTCGATATGTCCTTTCAAAAGACAACAGATAAAGCATTAAAAGGAATATTTACAAAAGAATCTTTTTCGTTGTGGTGACAGGGTCCCGACTGGTTGAGCTACAGTCAGAATGAAAATGGCGAAAAAATTCCAGAACGAACTCTTCCATCAAAATGTCACAAATTTCTCAAAAAAGCAAGTTAATGCGAGACTGCATTGTATGCCAACATTGCTATTGGACCAGTTGGACCCAGTTTTGTGATGTCTGAGCCCATACGAGAAATTAAGACAGAAAAGTTGGAGTTTGCCGAGGTTGTAGATCCAGAAAGTATTCAGAGGCAAAATTTCGTGTCCAGCGTTATATAATTTAATTTGAGTTTCATATATTTAGTCATAAATAGTACAATTCTTTTAATAGATCGTTGTGTAGTCCCACACCACAGATGTGCCAACAAAACGTGCATATTTAGTTTGTTTGCTATTAAAAATTTCGAATTCCGATCATACCAAGCCCGACAAAAGAAGCATGATCAATAAAAATAACAAATAAAAGTCCATCATGTTGCATATCACAGGATGATTATTTTGATATCTTGGTGACAAACATGCAATTAACGCTGTTGAGGATACTGTTGTTCGAGATCTAATATCTGCAAATGTTTCGAATGGGGCCTCTTTTATCTTTAAAAAAATATACCCACACAACTGCAGCTCTTTGACTGATTATACATTGGCAGCCTTCGATTTGGAATAGCCTTTACTGTAAAATAATATCTTTTAACGAAAACTTGACAAAATCAGAAATCTTCCCATTGGTCCCATCGTTTATCACTTTGTGCTGTTTCTGGAAATTCGGCAATTAACAGATATTTTTGGATATCATCATTACTCAACAGTGAAACAAACCTTTTGACAATGTCAAAGTCATTGTCAAAAGGTTATGAAATGGCATGATATTTTTAGATTTTGGTTTAAAAAAAAAATCTTTATGGTCATAAGGATTTATAACATGGAGTGCAAGATAAATCAGTACAGGAAAAACTAAGTTTTTCTGCTGTAGATGTCATGCTCAAATTCATCGAATTGCTACATATTGGTGTCTTCTGATTTCTTCCAAATTATTTCGAACAAAATTGTTCCTGTTCTTTCTTATTTTTTTTAATCCAATCGCTGACAACTCTACTATTAGACCACAGATGATGAGGTATCTCCACCTCAATTCCAATTTGGCTAGCGATGAAATCGATGAGTCAGCCTACAGCTTCAAATGAGGAATTCAGGAATTCAGTAATTCTAATCTCGGAATGGAAATCTCGTTGAGTGGTACCATTCTCGTTATTGCTATCAAAAACTTTACTTGACGATATTGTTTAATAACAATTATGTGGGCTACAATAGCGAAAGCCAAAGCAGTGGATTTCTTTATTGTATTTATTCTCTAATCAATCTATTGGACGATCTATTGATATCTATTGATATTGGACGGTCTTATTGATATCGACTCTTCTTAATATGTCTGGCCATTATCGGCTCTTTATCTCGTCAACTTTCTGATCCCAGTCATATTTGTCATAAGCTTTCGTAAGATTTTTATTGGAAGAGTGCAAGAAATTAAAATACCCGAGTCGAACATTGATACGACTATAACTTTTAGCTTTTAGCAGCGCATTCGTGTCAGGGTACCTCAATGACCCATATGATGGTTTACTGTATCACTATTAGTTACGAACATTCCCAGCTTCACATGTCTTCAAGAAATGTCTTTAGTTCCTTGTAA